TTTGATAATTTCTCTAGCACTAAACAAACCATCAGATCTTAAGATATCAAAACTCCAACAGGACACTTAATTTAGGTTGATTTTGTTATTTTTTAATTAATTTGGTTTTCATAATTATTTTCTTTGTATTTTAAGATTTTTATTTGGTTTTATAAGATATGGTTTCTAATTTAATTAAGGTTTTGTAAACCTGTAATGAGACAAATTTCGCGAGTGTTACTTTCTAGAGAAAATAAAGTTGTGAATTTGGATTTTATATTTACAATCCTTTTCGCTTATTAAATTTATATGTTTTATGCTTGTTTATTATCCTTTGCATTGGATGCATCGATAACTTTGAGGAAAAGGAGATTTTACTTTAAGGGCTCCCAGCAGCCCTGCAATATAAAGTGTCCAGCTCCCAGTCTCTTACCGTTGTCTAGTCGCCTTCGAACCAAAACTACAGAAACCAGTAACAACTTGCACCATCAAGGCATTAACCATGATGGACCCTCCCCTCTATCTCTCTGAACCGACACGAATAAATACAGCATCACCCCCACAATTTCTTTTTGTTTATTTATCATTGATTCACATTTCCTGTTCTCCCTTTCCCACACAATCAGAAAAATAAAATACCGAGAGAAGAGGAAGGAATGGCTGGCGCAGCAGGAAGAAACCTCAATCTCTGCTTCATCACTAAGATCAAACGTCCACTACCACCTGATCATCAATCGCCCTCTAACCCACTAACCCCAGATGATCACAGCCATCCACTCCTCTTTAAAAACTATAATTCACTCTACGACCTCACCATTGACCCCGCCTCCGCCTCCGCCTCCACCTCCACTTCCACCTCTTCCAGCTCCTCCTCCTCTGAACCTGACTTCGCCAGCGCCTACGCCTCTCAGCGCTTCTTTTTCTCCTCCCCGGGCAGCTCCAACTCCATCATTGAATCTACACCGTCCATTGTCACTTCCACAGAATCATCAGACAATCTAGTAGCCCCGCAACCTGATAGCAATGGTCTGATAATAAATCACTCCACTGGCAAGTCTTTGTTACTTGACGGTTGTAACAATAGCCATCCTTTACATGACCAACAACCACCCCGATTATTAAAATCACCAACCGTTAAAGACAGTATGGCTGTCTCCACCTACTCACACGACCCGTACATGGACTTCCGGCGATCCATGCAGGAGATGGTAGATGCACGCGACTTGGTGGATGTCAAGGCTAATTGGGAGTACTTGCACGAGCTACTATCGAGTTATCTTTCTCTTAATCCAAAGAGTACCCACAAGTTCATTGTTGGTGCTTTTGCTGATCTTCTTGTTAGTCTTTTGTCAACGGAAATGACGGAAGATGGTGGCCGCCGGGAAGAGGATTTTTCTTCCGATGGTTGTGGGATTTCGCGGCAGTGCATATAATGTAGCAATGTGGTGTGTCGGGAAATGATTGTATAATCTTTTAACTATAATTCAGCAATATATACATGTGGGGGACTAAGATGGCCCTCTTGCCTTCTATCACAGCACCTTATCCCTCGCAACCATCTTGCTTTTGGTCCCTGTATTTATTAAGCTGGTATTTTTTTTTTCAATTTGTTTGTATTATTTCCAGTTATAAAAAAACCTCGAGGTTCTTAATTATATTTTTTCTACGATTGGGTCTCCCAAACTCGTGATCCTTTTTTGGGAACGTTGTAGCTTTTTTCTCGAAAATAAAATAAAAATCCAACTTTCTTAGGGCATGCTCTATCAAAAGTAAATTAGATATGATTACGTTTTCCATTTTGCAGTGAACCTCCACGCAAAGACAATAGTCTTTGTTGGATGACTGATTGTTCGTCGCCTGTTAATAATTATGTTTTTGCATAAGATCATGCTTTTTTGAAGAGGTAATTAACATGGACACGGGAACATTAGGGTTGGAAAGGGTCAAATCCTGTCACCTGTGAACCTATAAAAAAAAATGTCTATGGGAATTGCTGACTAACTTATTGACCAGTAAAGGACAAGAAAGATAATCTTAAGGGCAAGACGTTGTCTTTTACGCGAGGGATATGAGTTCGGATTTGTCTTCCAGCCATGAACAGAAATCCCACTTTTGTTTTTTGTTTTCTTTCGGGAAGAGTCTTTGCATCAAGACAACTAGTGGATTAGCAAGTGGCCAGATTTGTGTTGATTAAAAAAGAAATACTGTTTTACACAGGCGGAACGAGGGAATCTTGATCTTTGTCCTCCGTTTCCCTCGCAATATTATATTTTTAAGGACGAGGATGAGCCACAAAAGATTCAGCGAAAGCTGCAGAGGCCACTGATGATGATTTGTTTCTCCGTAAATATGATTAAAAATTATGGTTCAACTTGTGGTTTCGTCCCTCTCAAGGTCACTTGCTAGGCACCGGCTCGTCGATGAAACCAATACTCGAGTCTGATATTTATTATTAGGTATTTTTAGGTCTGGTAAGTTCGAATTCAGGGCTTTCAATCCTTCGATAAGTAATCGCACCAAAATTATAGAATATAGTCCACTGATTTTACTGGTGGAGGAATCGTGGAGAAACCAGAAAAAAGTGGTTGGGCAAAACTGAGTTGGCCTCCTCAGTTTTACAGCGTGTCAATATATATATATATATATATATATATATATATATAACCTAATTTAGTTTTTGCGTACTATAGTTAAAGACTTCGAGTAAATCATCCCATATCAAAATTAATCTATTCACCAGAAATCTTTTTACAATTTTTAAAAATTGCTGTGGGTGGCGCTGTTCAATTTTTTACAATTCACCAGAAATCCATACGCACGCATAAGTCTCTATAGATCAAGTTGTGAATTCTATTTTGATAAATATTTTATATTTTTAATTAGAATAAAATGTTTTAATTTTAAATTTTTTTGACATGTTGTTTTGGGATTATACTGTTTATATATATATATATATAGTTTTAAAATTTAAAATATTTATAAATAGTCAAGATTAAATAGATATTTAACTTAAATAAAATATCAAATATTATGAAAGTAAAATATTTTAACATAAATATTTTAAATATAAAGTTAGGTCAATATTATCAAGGCTAATAAAATCTAAAACATATCTTATTTTACTCAAATTCCTACAAAGTATAAATATGAAGAAAAAACATAAATATAAATCATATATATTAGTGATAGATCTAATTTTAAAAAATTAATATCGTTGTTAATAAAAACAGTAATAATAATTTTTAATATTATTATTAATATCATTGTTATTAAAAATAGTAATGATAGGTTAATTAATTAAATTGAATCAGGTTCAATTTAATTCAATGACTTTTCAAGATTGAAACAGGACGTATAAAATGAAATCGCAACATTCCAGCCAAAATTTTGTTGAAAAATCCAGAACGGATCGAAGTTTGAAATGAAATGAAAATTATTCTATTTTGTTTTTTTATTAAATTGGTATGAAATATTTCAGTCATTTTAGATAAAATGAAATGGAATTGGCAAACTTATTGTAGATGGTCTTGTTCAATTTTTTACAATTTATTTTGGTCCTCAAAATTTTATTTTAGATGATTTTATTCTAATTTAAGACCAATTACTTATGATTTTTTAGTTGAGAGTGGGATTGAAAAAATAAGGATTCAAATAAAAAGAATGCATCAAACATGGATGGTGTTTTAAAAGTTTTGAGAAAGATACACTTTGATATTTTAACTTTCAAAATAATACAAATTATATAATTTTATTGTCTTAATTTTTTTCAAATTTAATTTTAGTATAATTTTTTTTTATATGTAGTCGAGGGAGGAGAGAGAAAGGTTTTTTCACATTCAATTTTAATTACATGTATACATAAATTCTTTATTTTTACTTAAAAATCTTTTAAATGCAAAAAAATATTAAGAAAGCTAACATATATAATTTTTTATTTAAAAACAATCTAACGAGACAAATCACAATTATCTAATTACTATTACAACTTTATCATCGAACTAAAAAAAATAACATTAGTCAGCATGACTGGCTTCTTTTCCTCTTTTTCTGTTTTCCTTTCCTTTCGTAAAACTTGATGAAAATAACTACATCAAATGGAAATGCATCTCTTGTTGTCAAAGAGTTATGTTGATCAGCTCTACTTCCCTCACCATTCCAGGAACTTAGCATGTTGAACAGCAGGTGCAGACTATCACAAGAACAAAAATAAGAGCAATTCCAAGGACACTTTCTTCTTCTTCTAATCTTCATACAAACTGTGCAACGTACGCTTCTTTTCGGAAAGTTACTGTCCAGCAATTCCATTGAACGGTTCAATTTGAACCAATCATTTAATAACAACATGCACAAGTAGTTGAACATGATTTCTTTCTTGTCGTGCTCTTTTTTATTTTTTTAAACGGAGCTCTGACATCCGCTGTTGAAAACACTAACGCCCGTGTATTTAAGTATGCATGATAGTGAATTATCTAGGTGGTGATCAAGTAGTAAAGATTTGGGATTAAAGATTTTGCTCTCTCTGTGGTTTCAGGTTTGAGTCCTTGGTTGCTCATATGATGGTCACTGAAGGCTTACATGGTCGTTAACTTCAGGGCCCGTGGGATTAGTCGTGGTGCGCGCAAGCTGACCCGGACACCCACGTTAATCTAAAAAAAAAACGTATGTGTGATAATGTAGTAGTAATTGTTTTTTAAATAATTTTTTGTGTTGAAATATATATTAATAATATTTTTTTATTTTTTAAAATTATTTTTAACATTAGCATATCAAAACGATGCAAAACGTATAAATTATATTAAATTTTAATGAAAATAAAAAATAATTTTTTTAAATTTTTTTTTAAATATAAATTCAACCTTAGTCTCCCAAGCTTTTATTCATTGATATTCAACATACGTATGCGCATGCAAAGTTCTAAATATATTATATTTATAGCGAAATTATAGGATAAAGATAAAGCCCAACTATCATTTTCCAATAAAGATTTTAAATAATAGTTTAATAATGATTCTAATTAAGTAGGTAAAAATGATTCTAAATACAAACCCTTTTTATCTAGTAAAACTTTCATGTCTTAATAAGGAATAGAAAGAACTCAAACTCTCACCTTGCAGAGCTCATTGTCTTTTTTCTTTTTTAAAAACAAACTCTACTTGTTATCCTGGGTGGTATTTTTTCCAAGAAGCCTAGTTATCAATTATTAGCTTATAGCTTATGTTGTGAATTCTTACAGGCTATCTCTGTGTATATGTCTACTAACAAGTCTAATTCTGGAGGGGAAAAAACTATTCATTGGCAAAGAGATCATTGTTGACGAGAACATTTTAATGATGGTTTTGTACTTCCTATAAAAAAAATTATTTAACTGGTTATGTAGGATTATACAATCTTTTCAAAAGGATCTAAGAGTTTTTTATATATTTTTTTAACTTCACTAAAAATTAATTTAATATTTTAATAAATATAAAATACAGTTAAAAAACTAAAAATTACTAATGCATGTGATATATGCGCTTGTGGTCTTCTAGCAGCATGCATGACATCTTTTGGCAGCTAAACATTCCTTTTTATCATGTGGTTAGAGTTTTCATAATATTTTTTTTTCTGTTAAGAGTTGTGTGTGTCAATAATGTTAAGGCAGTCTGTCACCAATAGTGTTTTTTTTTTTTTTTCTTTCTCTACTCCCCTCAAAATTCATGCTGGAATTCAAATTTCAAAGTTGTCTTCTTTTTTATCAAGATTTTAACTCTGGTATTTTTTTTTTAATTTTTAATTTTTTTTCTTGATCTTTTGAAAATTTTCATTTTGTTTTTAATTTTACATTTCAATCTTAATTTGTGATATGTTATTTTTTTTAATTTGATCTTTATTTTTGTCATTCTTTTTTCTTGTTCTTTTGTTAAATTAATTTTTCTTTTTAATTTCACCCTTTAATCAAAAATTTATGATTATCCTTTAATTTATGTTTTATTTCAATTTTAATCTTCATTATTTTAATGACTTTTTTGTTTTATCCTATTATATAATTGAGTTTTTTTAAAATTTTATTTTTTAATATTTAATTGGTTAAGAATTGAATCTTGTAATTTTTTCAGATATGGTGCTTGCGGTCTAATAAATAGGGTCATGAATTTAAAAAATTAACACTGGTTGTCATCATTTAATTTTTTTCTTTTACTTAGTTTTTTTTTATTTTATCATTTGGCATTATTTTTTTTCTTATTAAGTTTTGTGATTTTCTTCTTTCTTATTTATTAGATTATTCTGGTCTTATTGGCTTGACCTCTATTACCAACCTGAGTTATAATTTTGTTAAACTTACGCTGGTCGACTCAAGCCAGCTCTTTTTTGTTATTTTTTACATTATTTCATGCTTTTTATTTAATTGGTTAGGAATTATGTTACATTGTTTTCCTTCTTTTGAATTTTTTTTTCAAGTTATATTATTTTTTTCAGTCCATTTGTTATTGTTATTTATTTTTCTAATTATATAATTAAAATAAAACGGGTTTGGAACAACTAAATATCAAAAATAAAAATAAACCCCACGGGTTCACATCTTGTATTTGAGCCCATAAAAGGACATCTAGCGCATCAATTAAAATAGCTGAGTTATATTGGTGGGCTAATACTGCAATAGAATGGATCAAGCCCATGCCCTTCGAAAACTGCTACTCTATATTTTGTAAGATCAAATTCAGCTCCAAGCCCAGTCCAAAGAAAAATTACTACACGGATTTCAAGTTTCTGGAGTCTCACAGGGATCTTTCCGGCTTGATAAAATTTATTTAGATACACCTTGTATTTTCAAAGTATTAAATTTTTTAACGAAAAGCAACGAACAACTGTAATCCCAAACACGACCGCACAACACATCTCTATGGAAACAATTCTTAGCACCGCTTCGTCCAAATTTATACTGAAAATCTCCTAGCTACCACTGGTTGTCATCACTATAAAAGATACACGCAGTTAACCCAGCAGCAGGCGACTATCTCCTCAAAACAAAGGATCACAGAAGCTGGCCAATGACCAGTTTAGCACTTGTTATGCAACAAACCCGTCCATTCATCTAATCTGATTTGTTGACGGCCCTAATACACTGACCGTTTTACTCAATCCAAGCTGGGGGAGATTGCCTGTGTCCAACAACATGCAAAGCGTAGGACAGCCCAACTGGTATTAAGAATTTGACAAGATTTAGATTGAACTTGCATATTATCCACCAATTATGCGTACAGCCACATCTCATCCAAGTCGTGTTGCATTGGTAACAACACAGGATTTATGTTCCTTGTTCTTGCATATGATTCCATCAGAAAACATAAATCAGAAACCAGAATACCGCAAGAATGATTAAGGGTATCTCAAGGAAAAATATTTAAACAAAAATATGATCTTCTCAGCGGCAATGCATAGAGAAACATTCAACCAACAAAACACAACAGAATTCAAGCAAACAATCTAAGCTATATTAAAGTTTTTGTTTGAAAAAGAAAAAACTTGGAACGCGAAAAATACTGCATAAAAAGCAAGAGGGCCCCTTCTGCATAACTAGATCATCGCTTCTTGGAGACACCAACAGTCTTCCCCCTACGACCAGTGGTTTTGGTGTGCTGTCCTCGCACTCGAAGACCCCAATAGTGACGGAGACCGCGGTGATTTCTACAAAATAGAACCATACCAGCTCAAGTTAACAGGAAAAAAGTGACAACAAAGACTAGCATCTTATTTCTTTCTAGAATAATCCTCAATTAAGAATCAGAGCAAACCTGATCTTCTTCAAACGCTCAAGATCATCTCTCAGCTTCATGTCCAATGCATTGGAAACAACCTGAGAATACTTTCCATCTTTGTAATCCTTCTGCCTGTTAAGGAACCAGTCTGGAATCTTAAACTGGCGAGGATTAGCAACAATTGTCATAAGCTTGTCAAGCTCCTCAGCTGACAGTTCACCAGCTCTACAAACAATGCCACCCAAATGTCAAATTGATAGCATTCATCAACAGCAAATACACATCAAATCAAAATTTAGTTACATTTGACAGCAATTAACAGCGAACTATGAATATCAATTGGCAAAGAGATCGCAACAGACCCAAAAATATACCAACACAAAGAGTCGAAGCAACTCAGCAACAGTTGATAAAACCATTCATCTCTTCTCTATCACAAATTTATCAAATTTCTAAACTCTCTCGAGCAGTTGCCAAACAAATTGAATACTATTATAAAGTAATAAAGCAGAAAAACCAATATCTTCTATTAGGATATGCGAAAGGATTTAAATTTTTTTCGTGATGGACTAATCAAAGAGATTAACTTATATTCTCAAAAACACAAAAGGCCAGATCGACAAATATATAGCAGGTTAATATATTAAAAAAAGGAAAGGGTAAAAAGCAAGTACCTCTTGTTCATGTCTACATCGGCCTTCTTGCAGACAATGTTCGCAAAACGGCGACCAATACCTTTGATGGAGGTAAGGGCAAACATAATCTTCTGTTTGCCATCAACGTTGGTGTTCAAAACACGAAGAATGTGTTGGAATTCCTCATTTGCTACAAGAGCCTATCAAAGTAATTCAATCACAAAGAAACACTAATTAATTAAACATGCGTGAAGATAAGAAGGGAAGGCAGGGAAAGAAAAGAGGAAGGTAGATTCCGCTTACCATGGCTATGGGCTAGGGTTTCAGAGACAGCGGGAGTCCTAGGCTAAGCGGCGCCTGCTCTTTGAGTGTGGAGGTAAATCACAAAGTCTAAAACCCTAAATGTGGAGACTCGCTATATATAGTTGGCTTTGAGGGTGAGGGAGAATGATTTTTTGCCGAGATTAAAATGTGGGTGGACTGTTCTGCCCCGTGTCAGTCAAACAACTATAGCTATTCTGTCTTAAATCTAATTATGAATTAAATGTAGATTATTATATTCAAGATAATAACAAGTCAATTTCCTGTATATATAAGGAATAGTTTAGCTTAGGAGAGTTCAAGAGCATGGTTATAAATTTTATTAGTTAAGTTATACTAATTATTTGTGCAATTTTTCCAACCAATTATGTCATATGTGACTTTTATATTTTTTTTCATAAAAATAGTTGCATAGGCATAACTAATTCTTTGCCTATGTTGCATTGTAATTTTATAAAAAAAAAAATAATATAAAAAATACCTAGGTGTTGTTGATATATTTTATAGCAACAAAAAACATTAAATTATATAGAGATTGATATAGGATGACATGATAGATTTAACAACTTAGACATTTGATAGAAATATATTTTGGTTTTAAAAAATCAAAATAACATTTATTAAAAAATATTAAAATAATAATATATTAGATCAATTTAGAAGGTTTAACCTACTAATCCTATTATTTAGACCATGAAATCCTCGTAACTCTTTAGAAAACAAGTTAAATTTCTTTCATTAAATTCAATTATCAATCAATTTAATACTAAAATAATTTAAATATAAAATTCAAATAAATAAATAAATCACGTCAACCTAAGTTGACCTGACAAACCTCAAACATAAATTATAAAATCAGGATAGTTTTATAGAGATAAAATTAAAATAAAATATATAACTTAATTCTCAATCAACCCTATATTAAAATGATGAAATTTTTGAAAAAAAAAAATAACCGGAACATAAAAACTCACTTAGTTATCTAACCAAACCCGTGACTTGGGTAATAAAATAATGATAACATCATGAAACATAAAAAAAATAATTATGAAACATGATTCTTATTCAAACCAATTTTTAAGGGCAAAGTTAAAAAAAAATAACTTTACCAATTCATGTTAAATTGTTAAACTTGAATCAAAAAATTTGGATAACACCATATAATATATATATATATAAAGTTGAATACTAAAAAACATGGAGAGATTAAAAAAAAAAAAGAGAGAATAAAAAAAACATGAGTCAACCCTACTACCCAGTAAAATTCACGACTCTCATGAAACCATAATAACCGTATAGAAAATAAATAAAATATATATATATATATATATAAAGCTCATTTTTCAATAACTTAATATTGAAGGATGGAGTTAAAAAAAATCATCTTAAAAAATAATCTGAGTTAACATGGTTAACTTGCAAAACTCACGATTTGGATTCTGAAATAAATTATAAAATTTAAAATCTAATAAATTTAATATTAGAATATAAAATTAAAAATAAAAATAAAAAATAAAAAATAAAACTAGAATGAAAAAAATCTTATTATTTTATTGTTGATTGTTACATTGAAAGGAGAAGGCTTTTAGTATATGTTAATAAAATAACCGGTAATTGGTTGGAAGGGACACTTACAGGTAAATGATTATATATGTTATTTTTATTAAACTTTTTTAATTTTTTAATCGTGATTACATACAAATTCGATTCAGAATAATACGTCGTTAATAATATCAAATGAAATTATAAAATAATTTCATTATGTAATTGCAATCCTCGTTTGAAAAAGATGTCTTCTCCAATACTTACAGGACATTTTCCACATAACAGTACTATAAATCTCTATATTTTGCTTAAATGTCAGAAAAAAAGTTTTTTTTTTAAAAAAACCACTAACCAAAATACTAAAAACAAAAGGGGGTTTATTATCCCATCATCACATAATAATATTTATTGTAATAACATGCTCATTAAATATTACTTTTTTCCTTTTCTTTGGCTTTTTTTTACATAATATATATTTTATTTTTAATCTCAGTTGTATCTTTTAATATTATATTTATTCGATATTAAACTTTGTAATTTATTTTAATTTATTTTTACGAGATTATCCAAATCTCATTACTTGAATAATAAGTTTGATGGATTAACTCTAATTTTTTTAATTAATTTTTTAATTATTTTTATCTTTCAATATTGAGTTGATTTAAAATTAGATTCCATGACTTGTTCCGATTTATTTTTTACGAAGTTATTTTCATATTATGACTTAGATTATAAATTTTGAGAATTAATCCGGGTTAACTTGATTCAGTTTTTTTGTGTCATTTTTTAATCAAGTTTTTTTAATTGGTGAAATATTTTGTTAGTTTTGAAAATGACCAAGTATTTTTTATTTATTGTTTTTTGTTAGGTCTCTTTTTGGTAATTCTTTCAATTGATTGTTTTTTTCAATATTTGAAAGGTTGGTTTATTTATAAGTTAATGATTATATCTTTTATCAAATTCTTTTAAAACAATTTATAAAATTAAAATTCCTTTTCAATTTTACCCCACTTTAATTTTTTTTATATTTTGAATTTAGTCTTTATTCTTTTAATTGTGAGTTTGAGACTCTAACCCAAATTTAAAAGGTTCGTCATTGTCTAGTTTTTATTTTTAAAAAAAATTGTGCTTTTACAATTTCATCATTTATTATCTATATCATTAGCAATTAGACTTTGTTTTTTTTTTTATCTATTTTTATATGATTTTTTGTGATTTTTCAAAATAACTCAAGTTATCCTAAGTCTTTTCATATGTCGTTTCTTGCAAGTTTTTCTTTTTTTTCTTGGTCAAGTTTATGCTGAGTCTTATTTTTTAAAAACATATTTGCACCACTTGAATATCTTTTTTTTTTATTAATAACAAAAATGTTTTGACCCACGGCATAGTGTGAATCTATAAATCTATTTAACAAAAAATAAGGGACAATGTTTTTATTGTACCTCTTCTCATGTAACATTATTTATTAAAATAATATTTTCATTCATTTTTTTAGTGTTTTTTTTTAATTTTATCATTTTAATATTAGATTTATTAGGGATTAGACTTTATATTTTTTTTTAATTTATTTTTTTATGAGATTACCTAAAACTCATGACCTAGATTGTCATTTTAACAAGTTAATTCGGTTGACTTGAATTTTTTTCTTTTTTTTTAATAATCTTTCCCCCTCAATTTCATAATTAAATATTAAATTTATTAAGAATTAGAATTCATAATTTGTTTTAATATATTTTTTATAATTTATTTTAAAATACTTTTTATAAGATTAGTTCCATTCCATTACTTCATTTATGAATTTAGTAAGTTAATTATGTAAGTTAATTATGATAAAGTCAAGTTATTTTATTATTATTTTTTAATAATTTTTTAATATTTAATTGATTAAAAATTAAGTTTTTTAATTTGTTATGTCAAATCAATTTTTTTATTTTTTTAATAAAAAATATTTAATTTTTTATATTAAAAATAAATTAATCCAGGCAACTAATGCTGTTATCGTCAGGTAAAAACACGAACATGCGACTGCATATCAAGAAAGGCCATTTTATCAGGCACTTACACGAGCGCCGGAGGAGAAATATAAAGCATGAATAACATCAATCTAGGCTCTTTCATATTTTTCATCGATGAATTTTCCATTTGCGTTGGGCACAGGAGAGGTCCAGGATGAACAAACCTCAATTACATCTAAATCTAACATGAGTTGGCTAGAAATAACTAATGACTTGAGAGGCTCGTAACTGTACACAAAGTTTCCTTTAGAATGCTAGATGAGCGTATGATTTTAAGATGACAAACTTGGTACCGCAAACACCTGCCAAAGCTGGAGTCAGTCATCAACATCAAATGAGGCATTCGAGTGCTATCTTGGCATCCTAATCAATGACAAAATCGCAGGATGAGGTCTGTAAAGAAGACATCTAAGTCCTGCTCGAGGAAAAATTCACCAAATTTATCCATGGCTGCCATCCACAACTTTCTTGCTTTCTACTGCCAAAAGGAAAGCACAGACAGAAATCAACTAGCCTGGTTCGACAAAATTATCACCTCAGATGCACCACAGGAATTACCACCAGAGGCACAGTGCAGGCCAATAGCAGGAGCCGAGCTTGAATTACATAAAGATTCGGAGATGCCCCCTGTCAAACTAGCAGGCTCAACCTCAGAAACAGAATTGGCGTGCTCAGACGATTTGATGTTCATCTGAGGCCCATCAGAAATAGAACCTCCATAAGGAGAAATAGCATCACTTTGAACTGTGTCCGATACTTCTTTGAGGTCATGGACTCTATCTACATCAACTCCACAAGAGCTCACTCCGAGCTCTGTGGCAAAGCAAAATCCATTGCTTCTGCAAGATTGTAGATCAGGTTTAGCAGTGACATCAGAATTAGGATCAACGGTAGCAAGGACAACCATTTCCTTGGAAATAGGCTCCCTAGCCTGACAAGAACTATTATTTTGGTTGACAGGCAATACACCACAATGATCATTACGATCATCTTGCACTTTCTGAGGAGGAGGTGTGGTTGTTGATTGAGCTACATCACTGGAAATATTGCAGGTGGTAGACTCATGATGAGCAGCATTGGTACCTGAAACTTCAAGTTCAAGCTCAGAAACCAAGTGCTGGGGTTGACTTGTTATGATCCCAGAGGTGGTATGAACAGAATTGTGGTTCTGTCTATCACTGCTATCTTCAACTTTCACTTCACAAGGAACAGTCTCAGTATCCTCCTTGGAAGCAAACTGACAATGTCCTTGAAAGTCAGCCGCTTCAGCCCCCATAAAAGATATGCCAGAAAGTTTGCTTTCAACCTCAGAAACACCACTCTGGTTCATATGTACATCTCCTTTCACCTTCCTCTTACCATTGGAGGGGGCAATGAAACCAGAAACAGTACCCTGATGTTCAGCCACCTCTCTAGTTTGTTCATTAGCATCACCCATATAATCAGGAGTCCTCAAAGTATTTTTGTCACTCCCCTTCAGATTATCAGGAACAACAATCAAGCGACCACCAGTTTTTTCCTTGGGACAAGTGG